TCCCTCTGCCATACATTATGAACGCAGCCTGGGTCTCGCTCAGTGAACTCATTTGCTACGGACACCCGAGGTAATTCGGACACTTCAGACTGCCTCCTTGAGAATCTATATTCACGGGGCTTGGCTTTACCAAATTATCTATGTGTAAACAATTAGTTCAAATGAATTCTGTTACCTGTCGATGCTTGATTTGACCTTCAACAAGAAACAAATAAGGCGAACAGTCTTTTGAAACCTTTCAATAGGCTGCAATTGATAAAAGTAAATTAGTACGCTAAGACATATTCAAAACGGTGGGAGTCGCAATACTTTCTTTACAGCAACGCATCTACTTGTAGCAGGGGCAGATCTAGAATTCTGAGTTGGGAGGGGAGGGGGCTTTATTGTACATATAATGTTTAACATCGAAAAACGATTTATGTAAATTAGGCATGATATTATAGGTAAGAATTCCACCGAGGGGGGTGACGGCAATCCTGTGACCCCTCCCCCCCTCCCTGCCAATGCGTAGAGAGTAGAGAGATGTTGAGCTCAATGCGTTGGCCAACTGACTTAAATCTCCTATACTCTCGACGTCTATTTCAGTTAAAAAACAGTTTGAGCCAAAGGAGATAAGATCAGATAGATTCCAATACCCTATTTCTTTTCATTTTAATAGTCATCGTTGGCTATTGTTGTTGACATTGCTGAGATACGCCAGCACATAAAGCTTCTTTCGATCTTGGAATAACTTTTCTTTTATCTATTTTGGTCTCTTTGCAATATAGTCATGATTAAATGCTCCCTGATAACTATAAGTTAAACGAGATGTCACACTCTTGTAAATGCAGACAGGTAGCCTAGATGATAATACTTATTTGGGCACGATAAAATCTTAGAGCTTGGCTAGTGAAATCAGTATCCGATTCCTATTAATCCTATAGAATAATATGGACCATCAAATATTTGCAATCAAAATAATCTTGGAGTAACCAAAATAATATGACATTTTTCCAATTAATTTTGATCGATTCTTCGAAGATCGTTATTGAAAAAGCAAACTGTCACAGTTTCCATGGCAAAATCAACCAACATAAGCAGACTCGTGGTTTGGTTTGAATATCGATTTATTGCAACATTGCCTACCTAGGTTTGCAATGCCTCTCAAATACCTTGATATAACTTATGTCTTTCTGATTTCCAATTAATTCTTGATTGAKTGAGAATTGGAACTTAATCGATTATCACTATACAATTGAATAATCACCGCATTGCGGTAATCGATACTAATTGGCATCCCTATACTACTAGGTGGTAAGATTGAACGATATTTGAGCTAAGAGATGTATCCATATAATACGCAAGGCATCTTCGAGAAAAAAAAAATCTAATTTGATTTGCTAAATCTTTTCTAAAACACTTAAATTTATCATTTTGAATTGGTAATTTGTGCATGCACTTTTTGTACTCTTCGATACGAGACATATAGATATCTTAGATCTCTACAAGTAGTTTCGTCTCTTACCCGTCTTTGTATCGGCAGGTCTACATTTTTGAACCGTTTCACTTCAAACGGAGCTTCCATCTCTTCCTCCTCGTCAAGAGTTCCTTCGTTCGCTCTACCAATGGAAACTTGTGTCGATTCTTTCCTTGATTTTTCCTGCAGCATCCCATCCTTACTTACTCTCCTCCTGATTCTTGATTCGCTTAGGATTTCTCGATTCAAACTATTGATTCTAGCTCTCAAGCTACGGTACTTTTCATTGTGCAAACTCGTTGATCTTTTCAAGCTTTTTTTCGTCAGGAGATTTGTATTCTGTTTCTCATGTTGAGGAAATGTCCTTCCTCGACATCTTCTATAACGTGGCCTATCATAGATCGACCCATAAATGAATTTATTGATGTCCACAACAGGCCTGTTGTTGGTGAGTGTAAAGTCTGGTAGACGGTTTCTCAAGCTCGTTTTCTCTTTAGATTCGGAAGCAAGTGTAGAACTAGAGTAATGTAACTTCTTAAGCGCGAATGGTATCTGTATATCTTCATCACGGATGGCACGTCTGTGGTTTAGTGAATGTACAGTCGCTGCATCGACGGCATCCGCTTCTGCATGGTTGTTATTGTTGTCAGTTAAGTTTGAGAAGTTTGATATTTGGTCGGTACTCTGATTTTGGGTCCAGAATGATTCTCTTGCCCCTAGCTGATTTACCCTGGATGCTTCCATGTTACACAATTGTTTTATGTAGTATTCACCATTCCATGGAACAAACTTATGAAGCCATCAAGGTCTTTTCATACTTGTCGCAGATCACTTGGGCGATAAAAAGCTCTCAAATGCAGTGTACAATTGAACAAAATACTATAACATTTCCTGACCTTCCTAGTTACCGATTGAAACTTAGCGCCCCAGAAACTTAATATGACCTCATTTTCATAAAGACTTAACGACCAGAGAATCCTAGGAAGTTACAATGAAGTTATAGCAGAACGTCTAGTCTAATGAACTGGAGATGGTAGACACGAAGTGCGGACCAATCGGTCACATCATCAATTTGATCAACTTGTTTCTTGGGTTATCTTGAGTGCTTGGAAGGCTTTTTATAGAAACACTGTTGAAGAATGTCATACAAGAGTCGCGTTCGGTTACCTTCATCGAACATACGTCTTTCCAAATGAATAGCTTTATTCGCCGAACAATTACTTGAATTCCTGCGTACTCTTTGAAAGTCTTTGGATTCTTTAGTTTTGATATCTAGTGCAAGTATTGATTTTTGTATTGATACTTGGATGAAGTCGTGCTTTTTGTCATTCCTGCGAGTCAAGGCTATTAAATCTTACATTACACGTATTCACTTTCAGCTCTCGATAATCAAAGTGATTCACTAGACTAGAATCCACAAGCCAACTTACTATATATGCTTCGCAAGGTAAACAGGCCTTGTGTAAAACAAAACATAAGCCAGTGTTGCAGACTTTGAAGTGCGAAGTCGATAATATAGCTTCTAATTCGTAGATAAACACCGTTTACGTCACATAAGCATCAAAGGCTACTGCTTTGACATTTGGCTTTGTTTGATATGACTTAACAACTCAACACAGCACTATATTTTTTAAGCAAAATATTCATTTTTTTCTTTGATCATTTTGGCCGTAATCCCCTCTTGTAGTGGGTGGATTGCAGGTTATTTACTAGATAATAATTATCAGGGATTATCTTTGGCTATTTGTCTTACGGATTTAAGATACTTGCAAGGCTTATAAAACGGCGAATAAACAATACTTCTAAGCTCACGATAGCTTGAGGGAAACTAGATAGAATCCAGTGACAAAAGTATGTCCCTAATTCTACTTCAAATATGACTGGATTATTGTAGCAAGTCGACAAGAGTAACTTAAAACTAAGAAAAGATGTTGTGTATATGATTGCCATGGCAACGGAGTTTAGCACTAATCATTTGAAGGTGTTTGCCTAATGGAGTATGCGATGACAACAAAAGGCTCTTCTAGTTTTAAATGTGTTTTTCTTTGTATAATATGAAATCTTTATGAGTTGGTCATTAGCGAGAAGATTACAAACTGATTAGAACAATAGTACTAATAATTAATTCACGTAAAAAAATTTGGACTCAATTGTTGAGCTGCATTCTGAGCAGTTGAAAGTTGCCACACATTTGTAGTAGTTTCAACGATTTCACTATTGATTGGCTCTCCGCTGTATAGTCTACGCTCACAAATTTATTTAATTTCTTTGGTTTCAGGGATCGATACTTCATGCTTACACAAAAGGCGTTAGCCTAAACTATGAAGTCATAAAAAACTTTAACAACTTCATTTCCTTCTAATAATAACTTAATAACCCTTTATTGGTTTGAAGATAGCCTGCCTAAGATAAAACTATTTTATAATCCAACTTGAGCTAAAGAACAAGACCCTGGGGACAGGGTAGGACAGTTTAACTGAGTTTCTAAGAATCTAAAGGCGAAGCGAAAATAAGTCGCTACCACAGGTAGCCCAGTAATAAGAAAATGTTTTGATTCTAAAATTTTATTTACTTTCTTTCACAATAGATTCGGAAATCAATTTAGTTATTTAAGCGCGTGCTTAAAATAAACTGGTGTTCATAGTAAACCACAGGCTAACCACTCTAATAAATGAAGGAAATACTAAATGGTGTCTTGTCTTTGTCTTTTTATGCGCGCGCGCTATCGATTTTTTGTCATCTCACCTACCCCCCTTGGTAACAATTTTGTTTTTCTACTATACAATATACTAACAAGGTAGGCAACTTCACGGGCTTCCTGTGGAAAATTCAAACTTTGAAGAGAGAAAGCCACGAATTTATCCAGATATTTTGACTTCGAAAACAAAAAAAGTATAAAGAACGTCGTACTTACATCTAATCTTCAATAATTTAAAGGATTTTTTGATAATAAATTCTCTATAAGGAGGGTTTTTTGGGCTTTTTTAGCAAAAACTTATGTGCCGTCAGTTATGCTTGCATCCGAGCGGGCCTGAACACGAGAAAAGGGATCCAAAACAAGTCCTCTCCCTCCCTCTCCAAGTGTTTTTGGTTCGTTACCACATGCTTCCCAACCCCATACCCCGTGAGTCTTGCATTTTACTTCCGGTTGTTTTTTTAACCAATCAAGAAGCGTCGCCTATTTTTGGCTTCGCGAAACTTTTTGTAAAGCTTTTTTATCGTAGAGTTGT